ACCTGACAGTTGAATATGAAAAATAATCACCATGTGTAGTGATAATATGTAGGGGTAGTTTATGAAGTTATATTTGTTAGTTACTGCAAAATACTTCTATTGACAAAAATATTTTAATTCCTACTAGGAAAAATAACTTATTTATGTAACATTATAGATAAAAATAGCCTATATTAGCCACTACATAAAGAACAATAAATTTACATTGATATAGTATCAATAAAAAATATATTTACAATGGTATAGTAATTCACAATGCCAATACATATGGACTTATCACAAATCTTCATTTCCACAAATATGAATTAGTTCCTACTGAGAAAAGAAAAATATTTATGCAAGCTAATATAAATATAATACATGATATTTTACAATGATATTCACTTTAAATCCTCATGATAATACATTTTAATAACATATATTTTTTGCATTGAAAATTTAAAAAATTAAAAATACTGTTTTAATGCAAATTTACATTAAAAATATAATACAGTTTAACAACATGTATTTGTTAATGTATTTTTTTGCATTAACAACAAATTAAAAAATACAGTTTTGCATTAAAAATATAACAACCTGCTACGGTTTTTTTACAATGATATTCACTTTAATTTCTCATGATAATACAATTTAACAACATGTATTTTTTGTATTAAAAATTTAAAAAATTAAAAATACTTTTTTAATGCAAAACTGCATTAAAAATATAATACAGTTTAACAACATGTATTTGTTAATGTATTTTTTGCATTAACAACAAATTAAAAAATACAATTTTGCATTAAAAATATAACAACATGCCACGATTTTTTTAGAATGATATTCACTTTAATTCTTCATGATAATACAGCTTAACAACATGTATTTTTTGTATTAAAAATTTTAAAAATTAAAAATAGTTTTTTAATGCAAAATTGCATTAAAAATATAATACAGTTTAACAACATGTATTTGTTAATGCATTTTTTTGCATTAACAACAAATTAAAAAATACAGTTTTGTATTAAAAATATAATAACATGTATTTTTTTGCATAAATAATCTATCAACATGCAATTTTTTGAATTAGAAATTTAACAATAAAAATTAAAAATATTGTTTAATTCCTCGTGATAATCAAAAACAATTTTTCGAAAAATCACGATTTCTCAAAAAACTTGATCATGAATAATAAAAAAAAAAAACCTAGTTCATCACAGACCACTTTAACATCAGTCATTCCAACTCAAAATCCACCTCAAATTGAATAAATTACATCAAATTTAATACATGTTTTGATAAAAAACACTATAAGGAATCAAAGCCCCATAATATTAACACATTATTATTAAAATATTAAATAAAATCGAATTGAGGAAAAAAAAAAAAAACGCAGTTCTTCACAGACATCAGTCATTCAATCTCAAAAATCAATCTCAAATTGAATAAATCAGATAAAATTGAATATATGAGATGATAAACAACACTATAACGAATCAAAACCTTATAAATTTAACACATTCTTTGCAAAATATTTATTGAAATTGTGACAATGGCGGGAAAAAAAAAAACAGTCCACTTTTTTTTGAACAGACGTCACTCTTATTTTCTATAAAATCCAACTCGAATTGGATAAATAAAATCAAATTGAATATATCTAATGATAAACAACACTACAAAGAATCAAAACCCTATAAATTTAATACATGATTTGTAAAATATTGACTGGATTTGATCGCATGGGGAAAAAAAAAAAAAAAACTGAGTTTTTACCTGTTCTTCGTGCATCCGTGCCTTCAAACTCAAAATTGATATGTATTCCTCCAAGATAATCACCAATTATGAACACAAAATTCAGACCAATACTCTTACAATCACTCAGCCTGAAATTTTACAAAAAATGAAGCTTTATTTCAATCGAAATCGTGAAAACGACGGACAAAAAAAGTAAAACACAGTCCACTGTTTGTTAACAGACATCACTCTTATTTTCTATAAAATCCAACTCAAATTGAATAAATATAATCAAATTGAATATATATCTAATGATAAACAACACTACAAAAAATCAAAACCCTATAAATTTAATACATGATTTGTAAAATATTGACTGGATTTGATCGCAAAGGGAAAAAACAAAAACCTGAGTTTTTACCTGTTCTTTGTGCATCTGTGCCTTCAAACTCAAAATTGATATGTATTCCTCCAAGATAATCACAAATTATGAAGACAAATTTTGACTCTTACAATCAATCAGCCTGAAATTTTTTAAAAAATGAAGTTTTATTTCGATTGAAATCATTGAAATGGTAGAAACCCTAAAACTCACTCTGCAAACCAAATTTATTGATAAAAAACAATGGTTTTTAATTTCTTTTATTGATTGAAAATGATTCGAAATTTGAATTAAAGCCTGTAATATTTATTCATAAGGCTGAAAACGTTGAAAATCGATAAAAAAAAGACAAAAAATTTCGAATCCCTTGAAGGACACTGTTGACCCCGTGTTCTTCCGGGTGACTCGCGATTCTACTATTGGGACTCGGACAGAATCGCGAGTTTACTATTGGGAATCGCCCAGTTCTCTCTGGACACGGGTGATTCCCATTTTTTGTGTCGAATCGGCACGTTTTGTAGTGATTCTCGAGTCGAATCGAGCGAATCCGGTTCGATTCGACGATTTTTTAAACACTGATTTGACCTATGCAATGATGTAACGGTTTTGTTATAAATTTTAATAAAATTGTTAATGTTTCTAAGAAAAAAAAAACAGTCCCTCGGGGAAGACATGGCTATACCATTCGGCAAATTTGGGGGCATCATATCCGGCAAATTTGAGAGCATCCCGTAATAATCGACCCAAATAGTAGTCCGTACGTAAATTTCACCGAAAGGTAATTAATCTCGAGTTCACCGTTTTCCATAAGTGAGAGGATTCACCATCGATGCATGGGCTGTGTAGCACATACCATTATACACATCCTGTGTATGGCACACCATACCAAACACATGGCGAGCTAGCAATTTCACAAAATGACAAGGTCACAAACTCGACACTCCATGCACGTAATCCAATTCGCGTATTCATGTCTAAGAACAATTGTTTCATGTCGGCTGGACCGTATTTCTATACTATTCCGTCCAAAGGTATAAAACATCCATCTTAAAAATAGGTACAAATAGGTGGTCCATTTAAAAACAATAGTAATTAACGATTCAAATAGGTGGTCTAGATAGATTATTTACCCTTGATACAAGGTCATAATTACCTATAACTATATGATGTAAAATCTAATAGTTTGGGTATTTCACAAAGTTCGAAATTTTTTTTTTTTAACTTTGAGCTTGGTAAATGAAATAAATGCAGCCACCCGATTTCACATCTAATGGTCAAGATTAATTGTGACCACTTTGTACTAAAGGTAAATAATCCTATCATATGTTTTTCCAATTTAATTTTATTTTTTATATTCATAGTCTCTATGCTAAAAACTAGTGTTTTAAAAAACGCCGAGTCGCCCGGTTCGACTCGAAAATCGTCAAAAGGGGACCGGATCGCCTAAAAAATCGGAAATCGTCCGGTTCTAGAGAGAACCGGACGATTCTGTACAGTGAATCGCCTATTCACTGTACAGAATCGGCGAGTCCGAACGGTGAATCCGCGAGTCCCGTACGGAATTTTTTTTTTTTTTTGTAATCCATTATAGATTTTTTTGTAATACTTGATCGATTTTTTTGTAATCCATGATCGAATTTTTTGCTTTTTTGTAACCCATAATAGAATTTTTTGTAATCCATGATCGAAATGTTTGTTTTCTTTTCTTGTAATCCATGATCGTATTTTTTTTTTTTTGTAACCCATGATAGAATTTTTTGTAATCCTATGATCGAATGTTTTGTAATACATGATCGAAATGTTTGTTTTTTTTTGAATCCATGATC